GCAAGACACAAAAATTCTCATCATTTGTGTATCATTTATCGGTGAGAAATATTTCTCTACAGTTCTAGGTTTAGCGCGGAAGTGATGTGTGTACTTTTGTTTACTTGTTTACTGTAATGTTGTACGGTATATAAATGTACAACAGATAAACAGTTTGACTTAAAGTAATAAGTGAACTTGAACCTTCAATAATGCCTAGCGAGTATATGGGAAGACCATAATTTTGCCTCGGTCCGGCCCACCACCAGCACAGTCCCTACCCTCTCCTCTCACTAACGACATACGGTCTTCTTCGCAAAGAATCTTAGCTTTCCAGAAACATTCGATAGGCTGAATGACAAAGACTTGATTACCAGAGAGACCCAGCCAGAGTAGCAAATGTTACCAGACTGACTGCTTAAGGAGTCTCATTGATCGTTAAGATTTAAGATTGTCGTTTAATATAATTTTGTGTAACCCCTCTCCCTGCCCCATGCATATATATATATATATAGCACGTATGCATGATTAAACCACGGCAGGTAAGCGAGGATCGAATCCCCCCTTGAGGTCTATTAAGCTATACGATCGTACACTCAACATTTTGCTTAGATTGCTGAGTTCATTCATGGCGATGAAGCTCCAGCCATCGCCAGTACACCTGAACCCTGCATTTTTGTCACTGTATACGTACAAGAATTTCAGGCTGAAAGACCTAGAACGTGACGCCTAGGAGATCAAAGTAGTCAAGGTGTTTACAGATCATATGGAACAATAGTAGGTTAAAGATATCGACTTGTAGTATTTCTGCTCCCGGGCGAAGGCCCATCTATGTATGTATCTCCGATGTGGACCACCCCAGGGGCAGCGTGGCCTGTCCGTCACTTAGAGTGACGTCAGATAGTCTTCACATAAGGATACATTTAGACGTCACATATAGACAACAGAGGGCGTTGGTGTTGGCCCCAATTTGACAAAGAAAACCTGATACATTGATTGATGTCGAGAAAAACAAGTTAGTAATTGACCTATGATACAAATGACACGAGTCCTGACAGAACACGAAGGGTAGGTGGTCGTTCGGAGATCTTACAGGGAGGGAGAGAAAGTCCAGACGGGGTCATGTCTGATGTTCTTCCGAAAGGACTAGGTCATCCTACCATTGTCAGACAGGGGCGACAACTCTTACCTGGCGTATCGCTCCTTTAATCTTCTCATTCAACTTGTTCAATAGAAAAGCAAACGAAAAGAAAGCATATATGTTTTACGATGTATCGTGGGATCAAGGACCAGTCACACGATGGGTCAACAAGTCCAGTCAGGCTGACTGAATGTTCTTTTTTCTGTATGTAAAATTCCTCAAGTCCTGCAAAGATTATGAGTAACGGAGTTTCGAGGAACTATCACTTTGCCTGTAACATGGGAATAACGTTTGGTGACGTTTTCGTTTTGTGACGTCATACTATCACCCCAATGGCAAATGGCTGCGTGGTGATGGCAATATCTATACCAGATTGGTATTTCGTTTGAAAAAAAAAAAAAAACATCATCATATAAGTCCCATTTCAGTTTCGATTTATCCGTCGAAATGGTAATTTACTATTAAACGTTGCGTGCCGATATTAAATCACGAAGTTAGGATATGTCTGTGTATATATGTGTAGTCAAACCCAAAAATCACATTTTATGTTGTGTACTAATACCACTATATCAAATATTGTACAGTGGCACAACTTTACTAATCAGAGCAACCTCCATCTACGAATTTCCCGAGTTAAGCGTTTCGTGGAAACTATAAGTGAACTCTGAAACAAGGAAAAACTACAGTGTGGCCTTGGGGTTATCCGTTCTCAATATACAGTTGGTTGTCACACGTGTAACAATGTTTTTTTGGTTGATTATAAGATTTAATTTTAATTTACTGGCTTCATCATAATGTTTGATTTGAATTCAGAATAAAGTCACTTGTTACTACATGAAAATACGAATTGTTGTATGTATGTTACGAGGTTAAACGCTACACAACGACAACAGCGCGTGCATCAAAATACTGTTCTAGTTACTATCTGTTTTAACTTGATAGCTATAAATCAATCTAAAACTTTCTGATCCAATAATCAAATTAAGATGATGTGGTGACATGTAAGGTGGATTTAAAATGATTATATTTTGAATATTACCTTCCGATGGCATTATATATTTTATAGTGATTGCCTTGTACAAAGTGAGTGCTTGTCTATTGAGTACAATTTAATTGAATGGTGAAGAAAGAGAGGATACAGAAATATTTGACTATACATCCAGTTCCTCCCCTCCCTACCAACCAACCCAACCAAACACAGATCACCCGAAAGCGAGGACTTTGTATTATCGTTGTCTAGACGACCCAAGGTAAGGTATGTTATCTTAATCTGTTTTCCAAGAATCCAACAAAAGCCGGTATAGGGAGTTCCGTTACATTAGTATCTCCTCTTGTCTCACTTCCTTACTTACGTCACTTAATTTTCTGTTCACATCACATAAAACCTGACATTCAAGTAGAAAAATCCAGAAATGTATTGACTTAAGGTAATTACCCATCAAGCATCGAAATACATTGCCCTCGCCTCACTCACAGTACAGAAACAACAATCTAGAATCGTCATTCATGTTCATATCCCTAGACGCTATCGTCCTTTCTCTCTTTATAGTCATAAAGTCATCATGATCATCGTTATATCCTCGATATCATCGTCATACCATTCGTTATTACGTCGACATCGTCGTCTTCATCGTAGATGTCAAACTACATCGTTGTCATACTCGTCGTTAAAATGTCATCATCGTCACACTCATCGTTATGATGTCAATCTACATCATCGTCATACTAGCCGTTATAACGCCGACTCCATCGTCATATTTATCTTTAAATGGTCGGCGTCGTCATCCCCATCGTTATGACGTCAAACTAAATCGTTGTCAAAGTCGTCGCCAGTTATGACGTCGACATCGTCACTCTCGTCGTTATGGCGTCGACATCGTCATTCTTATCGTTATGACGTCCACCAATATTATTGTCAAATTCAGAAATCCACATTAAGCACCGTTCCAGTGTACCAAAGAGTTGTCACCCGTTATTTTCTCTCAGCTTACAATATCCTTTTTTTCTACTGACAAACAAAACATGTGTACCAAAGTCTACTACAAAGATGTTAATTAAAATCAGCACATGTATGTTTCAGACCTGAGTGATTTACATTCCAGAGCATTTTTCTACAAATCACGTTACCTGAGTCATGTGACGTATATACCTCTGCGATTAAATACAATATTTCTTTACGTGGTATTGTAGCCCACATTCTCTTTCTTGTGTCAGGTATTCTATTATGTATCAAAGAGTTAAAACAGTGCATCCATTTCAATGAAGCATAGAAGAAACTAAAGAAACAATAGAATTTCAAAATGTTGCGATCAAGCGTTATTTATCAACAATGTTGTGCTGAAATTCCTTTCCTAAAACAGCTCTAGGTTTTAGACAGATATTGTATAGGTAGAACGAGCTGGTTCAAACCGAGTTCGGTAACCGTGGCAATGGTTAAGCTCCCGATAGCCAATTAATGTTGTTTGTTAGAGTGATATTAAGGTCTCGATAGTCGATATCAGGGACTATACACATATTGATGATATAGTGTTACATGTGCATTACATCAAACTCAGAACACACGAGAGCTGTATATTACAGTGTTGACAATAGCCAAGTGTGTAACGTCGTCTAAGTGTACTGGTTTGTGTCCTAAAAAACAGAATTGCACACAAAACCCAGAGGTTTTCCAATCCAGTTTCCTTGGTTAGGCGTCAACACCACCGGTCTACTGTGTCAACAGTTATAGCCTCTGTTGGTATTGGGATACACTTTTATTGACTTGACACTCACCTTAGCGAAAATGAAAATTTGAAATTTTAAACGAAAAGTATTGAAAATGTTTTTTTTCTTGATTTTTAATGAAGCTTTTCAAAGACTTTAAATAGCTGAACAAAACTGACTATGCTTAAGGTAAGAGAGTGCCCCGCCCACCCACCGCACACTGGCGGTATTATCCCTACCCATGACCCCTCCTCACGAGGTCGACTCCCTATTTATACCTACACAAAGACCAAAGCCATCAAGGACAGCCCAGTCACATACATCTTAAGTATTTTCAACTTGTTGACCGAATATTTCTTTTCGCTGATGTAGTATGTATATTTTACCTGACGACATAGTTTTAGTGTTACAGGTAAAACGACTAAATATACACATCTTCTATTCTTATACTTTTTTCTAAGCAATAATTTTTACAAATATCTTTTTTTACGTGAAAATTATAATCGGTACTGTTTTATACAATACTCAAATATATCACAAGAGTACAACTTGGTTTCGTTAACAATTCTTACCATCTACCTTATTATGGCCCTGCACCATGCGATCTCATACATGCATTCCAACTCACAAATAAGTTTAAAGGAATTTAACATGCTGCAATGGATAACGAGAATTGACAGGACATCGTGACAGGCTGATGTTTGTTAGCACGCTATGATTTCTATACTAATGACTTAATCACAGCGTCATTTTAATTGCTATCTCTGTGTTGTAACGAACAAAGGCGCGGAATATCGGGGCTGGAATTCAGGACCGGAATACCGCAGTCAAAATACGAACACTGGACTCCAGTGGTGGAATATCGGGGCTGGAATTCAGGACCGGAATACCGCAGTCAAAATACGAACACTGGACTCCTGTGGTGGAATATTGGGGCTGGAAGTACCGGACCTGGAATACAGGGACTGGAATACTAGGGCCGCAGGACCAGACATGGAATACTGGGGCCACAGTACCGGATCTGGAATACTGGAACCGCAGTACCGGACCTGGAATACTGAGGCCGCAGTACCGGACTTGGAATACTGAGGCCGCAGTACCGGATCGGGAATACTGGGGCCGCAGTACCGGACCTGGAATACTGAGGCGGCAGTACAGAACCTGGAATCCTGGAATACTAGGGCCGCAGTACCGGACCTTGAATACTGGGGCCGCAGGACCGGACCTGGAATACTGGGACCGCAGGACCGGACCTGGAATACTGGAACCGCAGTACCGGACCTGGAATATTGAGGCCGCAGTACCGGACCTGGAATACTGAGGCCGCAGTACCGGATCGGGAATACTGGGGCCGCAGTACCGGACCTGGAATACTGAGGCGGCAGTACAGAACCTGGAATCCTGGAATACTAGGGCCGCAGTACCGGACCTTGAATACTGGGGCCGCAGGACCGGACCTGGAATACTGGGACCGCAGTACCGGACCTGGAATACTGAGGCTGCAGTACCGGATCGGGAATACTGGGACCGCAGTACCGGACCTGGAATACTGAGGCGTCAGTACCGGACCTGGAATACTGAGACGGCAGTACCGGACCTGGAATCTTGGAATACTAGGGCCGCAGTACCGGATCTGGAATACTGGGGCCACAGGACCGGACCTGGAATACTGAGACCGCAGTACCGGACCTGGAATACTGAGGCTGCAGTACCGGATCGGGAATACTGGGACCGCAGTACCGGACCTGGAATACTGAGGCGGCAGTACCCGATTGGGAATACTGGGACCGCAGTACCGGACCTGGAATACTGAGGTTGCAGTACCGGACATGGAATACTGGGGCCGTAGTACCGGATCGGGAATACTGGGATCGCAGTACCGGACCTGGAATACTGAGGCTGCAGTACCGGACCTGGAATACTGGGACTGGAATACTGAGGCCGCAGCACCGGACCTGGAATACTGGGGCCGCAGTACCGGACCAGGAATACTGGGACTGGAATACTGAGGCTGCAGTACCGGACTTGGAATACTGGGACCGGAATACTGAGGCCGCAGCACCGGACCTGGAATACTGAGGCCGCAGTACCGGACCCGGGATACTGGAGCCGCAGTACCGGACCTGGAATACTGGAGCCGCAGAACCGGACATGAAGTACTGGGACTGGAATACTGAGGCCGCAGAACCGGACCTGGAGTACTAGGGCCGCAGTACCGGACCTGGAATACTGAGGCGGCAGTACCGGACCTGGAATACTGGGGCTGCAGAACCGGACCTGGAATACCGAGACCGGAATACTGATGCGACCGTTATTGCGTTGAAGGAGATTTTCGTGTAAATTATCCGTTTAGTATTTTCTGTTATGACCAATCAGAGTTCTTTGTAAACATGAATTAATATAGATCGCTATTTAAAGAAGGCAGAGCTACAGCAAATACTTTCAGTATACTTTGTAAAGAAATTCAACGTCACATTGTTTTTAACGATATCTGCTAGGAATTACATGCTAATCTACAGCTTTCCCACACTCTGTAACCAAGACTTTAGAACATCTATCGGGATTCTGACAATTTTCAAATATTACACCATGTGTTTTTTAGTACTTAATATGGTCACGTGTTGCTCGCGTGCTGGTGCGTACGAGTCCATGTCTCGTGCATTCTGTAAGTTCTACAAAACATAATTATCCTGAAAGGATTGCCACCTGGAGGCGAGTTAACATGATGTACCAAAGGCTGCCAGGAGACAGGTGAACAGTACACCCAACTTCATTCATTTATCCGTGAAACGCACGCGAACAGCAAAAGGATTCGGTAAAAGTAACTCTTTACAGAGCACAGATACAAAAATCACGCTGATTCCGACACCGATAACATCAACCTTCAACGACAAGTCTGTGGAATCTCGCTATTGTTGTCAAAGACCAATTTATTAATGTCAGAGGAATCTTCACCAAAGCCGTTGTTTTGGGCGAGTTCGTGATATATCTGCAATTAATCAATGGTAGATACACGATGTAGTAAAGACTTGAATGACAAGGCCCATTTTAAACTCGTTGTGGGATCGCACAACATTACACGGTGTGCAAAGTGCGCACGATATCTACACCATGTGCACACGATAGGAAAACTGGTCGAAAATAAGCTATCGTTCACTTGCGCACACGTTATGCGGTTCTATCTTAAAAAATGTGTGATTCTATCGTGGTTGATATAATTTTAGAAATGACTTACAGATATGTGTGGGGTTGGATGTATTTTGTTCTAGAAATATAAGAATTCAATTAAGTATATTTCCGAATTAAGACATAAATATATAATCTGGACAACTAGATCTATCAGTTACAGATTAAATAGTCATATATATAATTATACATGTAGATATGAATATTAAATGGACTCCTCTTTTTGGCTCGGCAATGAATCATCTAAAATCCCAGACCGTCAGAATAGACATTTTATTTTCGTAACTTCTGTATAACACTCTTTTTTTTATCATTTTGTAAACAAAAACTACCTACTTAGGTAACTCTAGAGTGTGTTTGTTACACGGGTGACCTGTACACAGGTATTTTTTGTTGACCGATACACAACTCAACGAATGAAACAATTATCCATACTTAATGTATCGATACCATGGTAATTAGTGACGTCAATGTATGTTCAATTTTAAAACCGTAATATTACCCAACCATTGTTACCAAACCACACAAAATATGCGATCCTATAACACAGTTGCGAGCACGGTACTGTTAGTGCGTGTGTGCGCACGATGTATGCACGATGTGCCCACGAAGTTTTTGGTGTGTTGTGCGCTACCACAACTGCACTCATATCAGATTTGGTTCTTAAGAGTCCAGATTTCATCACTGTATAACCAGCCATTTCGTTGTTTATGTATCGTCACTGTATATATGAAATGTATAATTAATCACATTTGTCCGCTAATTTTTTTCTATAGGAATTAAACCCAGACTGACATTCCAGCCAGAACGAACCTTCATGAAGACAGCGAGAATGCACTTGAATGTATTTCTTCATCGTTCATGGTCACCATGCAAAGAAGATGAAACCTTGTAGATAATGCGTGCCCCTGTGGAAGTATGTGCAATTGCGTAGACGGAACGTGGCCTTGTGGACGACGTATAACGTTGGAGAGGACAATTGACATCGAGAGTAAGCGTGACCTTGTACAGATACGTGACCTCCAAATAATGCTTGACCTTGCCATGTATATGTGGTTTTACACAACACTTTAACTATCGCCGTGAGTGTATTGCTGGTCATTGATGTTTTCGCCGTTTTCCTTCCATTGTGAAGATCCGTCAATTTTTGTCCTTATTTTTCTTAGACGTTTTATTCAAACTGTTAAGTATGCTGATATCATATTGGATTTTAAGAAGTTCAGAGGTTTTCTGATCTTTTGATAGCTTTCGTGCCCTACTGACTCACAGTGTACTATTAAAATGACATTTCGAGGTTGACCTTTTGAAGCTGTTACCTAGCTGATTAGATTTGTCACTTATATCATCAATACCTGTCTTTTACATGTGAGGATGTATGGACCAGACGACCAGTCTCACCTGTGTATTGTATAGGGTCAGTCTCCTATGAATGATAGATAACGTTTTGTAGTGATGGACGGCGATGGCGAAATATTATCAGACAGTGTTAACTAGAGAGCGTGAATGGGTGTAAAGGAATCGGGTTCCGCAAGTACAAACACTTCATTATAGATATTCGTGTATAGCAATACACATTGATGTATATAGAGAAAACCTACCCAGCCTAACTCGACTCTCTTGTCGCCAAATTCTTTCCCACGTACTCCGCATGTTTTGTATCACTTTCTGTGTTGGTGGTTACACTTATTTGTCCAAAGGTCAAAGGGTCAGGAGATAAGTCCTCTGTCTCGACACCACGAGTCGGATACCTACCTGGTTGTCTTTGATCTAGTGTTTATATGGCGTTAAAACAAAAGGCTGTCCCTGTCACAGCAGCAGACACAGCATGGACTGTACGGAGGGACAAACGGCACAGCACGGATTGTATGGAATGGCAAACGGCACAGCATGGACTTTACGGAGGGACAAACGGCACAGCACGGACTGTATGGAGGGACAAACGACACAACATTGACTGTACGGAGGGACAAACGGCACAGCACGGACTGTACGGAGGGACAAACGGCACAGCACGGACTGTGCGGAGGGACAAACGGCACAACATGGACTGTACTGAGGAACACACGACTCAAGCAGGGACTATGAGGAGAGACAAACGGCACAACGCATACTTTTCGGAGGGACAAACGACAAACACGGATGATATGGAGGTACAAACGGCACAGCACGGTCATTATGTGGGAACATACAGCTCAACACAGACTGTACGGAGGAACAAATGACTAAAATAAGACTTAACAGGGGGACAAACGGCTCAACACAGACTTTACAGGGGGACAAACGGCTCAACACAGACTTTACGGAGGAACAAACAACCCAACACAGACTTTACGGAGGGACAAAAGACCCAACACAGACTTTACGGAGGGACAAACGACTCAACACAGACTTTACGCAGGGACAAACGACTCAACATTGACTTTACGGAGGGACAAACGGCCCAACACAGACTTTACGGAGGACAAACGACTCAACACAGACTTTACGGAGGGACAAATGACACAGCACGGATGAGTCTTATACATCATATCATTTCTTCAGCTACAGACCTCGATATGTGCCATACATCACCTCTTTACCTACATACCTCAGTTATGTTATTTGTCACTTCTTCACTTACAGATCTCCAGAAAAGTCGAATGAAATTTCTTCATATTCAGACCTCTGAAATGTCTTACTTTTTGTCTACAGCTGCATACATCTGAAAATCTCGTACATCTTTTCTTCAGTTACAGACCTCTAAAACTGACGATTGGCATTTCTCCAGTTACAGACCTCTAAAACTGTCGGATGGCATTTCTTCACTTACAGATCTTTTAAAATGTTGTGCATCAGTGATATTGTCAGTGTGTGACCAATGATATTGCGGTGTGTGACCAGTGATATTATCTGTGGGTGACCATTGATATTGTCAGTGTGTGACCAGTGATATTGTCGGTGTGTGACCAGTGATATTGTCTGTGGTTGACCATTGATATTGTCGGTGTGTGACCAGTGATATTGTCGATGGGTGACCAGTGATATTGTCGGTGTGTAACCAGTGATATTGTCGGTGTGTGACCAGTGATATTGTCGGTGTGTGACCAGTGATATTGTCGGTGTGTGACCAGTAATATTGTGGGTGACCAGTGATATTGTTTGTGGGTGACCAATGATATTGTCAGTGTGTGACCAGTGATATTGTCGGTGTGTGACCAATGATATTGTCTGTGGTTGACCATTGATATTGTCGGTGTGTGACCAGTGATATTGTCGGTGGGTGACCAGTGATATTGTCGGTGTGTGACCAGTGATGTTTGTCGGTGTGTGACCAGTGATATTGTCGGTGTGTGACCAGTGATATTGTCGGTGTGTGACCAGTGATATTGTCGGTGTGTGACCAGTGATATAGCGGTTTGTGACCAGTGATATTGTCGGTGGGTGACCAGTAATATTGTCGGTGGGTGACCAGTTACATTTTCTGTGGTTGACCAGTGATATTGTCGGAGGGTGATCAGTGATATTGTCAGTGTGTGACCAGTGATATTGTCAATGTGTGACCAGTGAAATTGTCGGTGTGAGACCAGTGATATTGTCGGTGGGTGACAGTGGTACGTGTAAGACATACCAACATTTCATGGAATGCCACTGGGTGATCAGCGATCGTATGACAGTGTGGCCTTCCATAGCTGACGATAAGTTAAACTGCTGATCCTATATTAGGGTGTTTGCCCATATCGGTTTCCATTATCATTCTTTTCGGGTCACAGTTGATACATAAATACCAGGAGACTAATTACCTTACCAGCATGGGAACGTGACATGACCTAATTATACACGTCTTGAGTCCACCGCGGACTTTGCATTCTATCATACGGTTCTGATTATTTTAAAAATTAATTTCAACTTCTAATGTGTTATTAACAAGATCAACGAATGCATTAATACATGTGTGTCAGAAATATCAAAGATTGGGTGACTTTATTCTGATAAAAAATGTTTATAACAATCGTCGTTTTCAAAGTGTTGCTGAAAAGTTGACCACCGCTATTGTAAAGCATTGGGGCCCGTAGGTAGCTGAAACAACCTCGGGGTGCGAGGTTCGTGTTTGGACCTTCCCTTCCTGTGACGGTTTTTTTCAGAAAGCCGATTAAAGGGTAGGTTGTGGACGTAGGCGAAAAGCATCGATGGCATGTGACGGACTTCCCGCATGTTGTTCAGATAGGCAGTCATCAGATTCTACAAGGAGATCACGCTTCATAACTTACTTGTCTGTTCACGGGGCAATAAACTCAGCAATGATACTATAACGGACAAAACCCAAAGAATCGAACCCTCGTATCACAGTGCTAAATATTTGTCGATAAGAAACTGACCTTTTTAGACGTGCCGCCTAATTACAATGTGATGAGCGTGAGTACGGTCAGTGCGTATTAAGAGGCTGGTCATTCCACAGGCACTCGAGGCCAGGATATTATTTTTTAAACGTTGATTTTTGTTTTAGCACTCATGACTGACGTTATTTAAACGAAATATCAGCAGAATTCAAGTTTATGTGCCGGTTGACAAATCCGAGGTCCACGGTCATTAAAAATACACAAGGCAAGCAACTCCAGATTTTAAAAAATCGACCCCTCGCTTGGAAACTGGCTCAAAAAAAGTAGTTATGATAAGTTCCTTGTAAAACAATATGTATCCGTAGGTAGTGTGTATATTTACCTTTTATTTGGTGCATAACATTACAGGCAACGAGAAATTCACAATACGTACATGAGATTAACATCTCAATAATCGGAGATTTTATCGTCCATGTAATTATCTTTGACGGAAGTAACATGCCATTTCAAGGGCGGTCACTCCGACTTTTTGGGAGAGGAGTTCCGGATAGCACTATACCAGTGAACAGGTAAGAAAGGTTCCGATGTCATTACGCGCGTAACTTCAAAATAGATATTTTTATTTCTACAAATACATTTGCGGGGATGGAAAAATAATGGCTGGGCATTTAAAAAAAAATAGAAAAAAAATCATTTAATTTCCAATTTCTAAGTTAATATATTTCCCCCACGATATTTTTCATAAATTGCGCCCTTTTTTCATTATCTGCATGATTTTTTTTTTCTATTTTTTTTTTGAAAAAAAATTCTCATTACCGCCAGCTTGATTGAAATTTGATGCATTCTGTATAATCCCTTACCATGATATTGTATCCGAGTTGGCAACTGTGGACTTTCTTTGCCCAGCCATTATTTTTCCATCCCCGCAAATGTATTTGTAGAAATAAAAATATCTATTTTGAAGTTACGCGCGTAATGACATCGGAACCTTTCTTACCTGTTCACTGGTATAGTGCTATCCGGAACTCCTCTCCCAAAAAGTCGGAGTGACCGCCCTTGAAATGGCATGTTACTTCCGTCAAAGATAATTACATGGACGATAAAATCTCCGATTATTGAGATGTTAATCTCATGTACGTATTGTGAATTTCTCGTTGCCTGTAATGTTATGCACCAAATAAAAGGTAAATATACACACTACCTACGGATACATATTGTTTTACAAGGAACTTATCATAACTACTTTTTTTGAGCCAGTTTCCAAGCGAGGGGTCGATTTTTTAAAATCTGGAGTTGCTTGCCTTGTGTATTTTTAATGACCGTGGACCTCGGATTTGTCAACCGGCACATAAACTTGAATTCTGCTGATATTTCGTTTAAATAACGTCAGTCATGAGTGCTAAAACAAAAATCAACGTTTAAAAAATAATATCCTGGCCTCGAGTGCCTGTGGGTCATTCTGGTAACACAGTGTTAAGCTGACCCCCGGCCAACTTGACCTCCTCCGGCCTGTGTGACCCAACACCGGATACACACGTATGATAACCTAATCACCGCAGTATTGTCTCGAGTGACCAGACTCGACCCAGTCCTACAGCGATTTAACAGACTGACCAGTGGCCGGAGCCACAATAATACTGACCATCACGTCCACTTTCTTTGTTCGGTGAATACATGACAGATAAGGGCGGACAAATATTTTTGTATCAAATAAAGATGTGAGAAATTCTTTCGTGATAGTGTAGGGAATACACTTTAGCGGTCAGTAATCACTTCTGTTGTGATCAGGGACGAAGGATGTATACACAAAGTGACCACTAGCTATGTGTTGTGGAAGTAATTAATACAAACAAGACCAACCGCCGCGACTTCATAGGTCCGGATGTTGCGTGTTTGACCTGAACCCAATTATATAAACAGTTAGAGACCTTCTTTTATTTCGATGTGAAAATTTGGCCGGAATTGTTCTGAATCCGTAACCGAAAATGAAATCAAATATTGTCAACCATTCGCACAAATCTCGACACTTTTACGTGCTTCAGATATTGTGTAGACCGTCGGTGTTTTTCGATTTTTTAAAAATCTAACAAATTGTCTTGACAAATAATTCCTCGAATTTCTTGAGTTTAACACTTAGCGCCCCAATACCGGCAGGCGTTGTAGTATCTCGCTGACTGGGTAACAAAGATCATTTTAGAATTGCGTAACGTGTCGCTCTACAGGTTAGAAACTGATTTCAATGTAAGGTTTCCGGTTCATACCTTGAACAACCTACTCCTACTCCTCAAATTCCTCAATATAATTAGGACTACAAAAGTACACTCGTCTTTCATG